TTTTAATTAATATTGACTATTAAATATATAAATGAGATCTAAAGCATAAAGCCCCATTAAAAATGGTCTAATCAAGGCTCAAAATATCGACCCCACAAAAATGCCCAAAATAAAGGCCACTAATATGGGAGTACAACAATGCCCAAAAAGTGCTCTCGCTAAACTAGCCAAAAAGATGACCAAAAAACTAGTAACAACTTTAATAAAAATGTTAAGACGTAATTTTTGTGGTCTTCATGTTCGTTGAGGAGGGTCATTGCACGGTTTTAATGTCTGTCGAAACTTCAGGGCTTCTGGCCCTGTAACCGCGTTACCAACGCGCTTCCGTCAACCAAATATGGAGTACCTCATCAGGATTTACAAGTAGAACGCATGATAACGGAATTCCGATCCGCCTTCCCTCTCCTCGCCGCCGAAACTTCATTAAGGGCACGGTGCATATTTTTTATGCTTTCCCAGCACCGGAACATCTCGTAAAAAAATTAAATGGAACAATCGTTCCCATTCCGATTGCGCTCGCACCCATTATGCAATCACGTAATTATGGTAATTAAACGGTGGTTACGTGTAAGCGACACGTGATACACGTTTCCCGACACACGTTACGCTTGTCACGTGTCTGACGTGATTAACCGTCACGTAACCAATCACTGCAGGGGTACGACCAGTCCTCCCTGTCTCCCCTCTTGTCAAATAAAAAAATTGAGTCGAACGAGGGAAGGCTAATATAAACTTATTCCAGCTGGAACATTAGAATAGCGTACTGGAAAATAGTTTTCTAGGTCAGTGACGTCGAGTGTGCGAGAAAAGGGACGAACATTTTGGAAGAAACTACTATTCACTATTATTCACGTTTTATAACGCGAGCTACAAATCTGGATCAATTGGGTGTCGCAAACGCGCTTATCCGGTGTCAGGGGTTACGGTACAGTCCCGGCACAATGAGAATGTACACAATGTGCACTCTGTGTCGCAATACATATCGTCTCGACGTAATTTATGCCGGTACCACGATTTCGAAACGCCTCACGGACAAAGGATCATTGATCCGAACGAAATTTCTGGTCGCGGACAGACACAAAAATTGTTTAACATTGTGAGATTTTTACAGACGATTTTGATATGATTTCATTGGTTTTTAAGTGATTTTCATAATTATCAGACGATTTTGAAGTGATTTCAACGGTTCTGACAGGATTTCAAGATGATTATTAGATGATTGCAATGATTTTGAGATGATTGCAATGATTTTGAGATAATTGCGATGATTTCTATGATTTTTAGACGATTTTAAGATGATTTCAATATTATTCAGATGGTTTCGATGAATGATTCTGAAATGAATTTGATGATTCTGATGATTCTAATGATTCTGATTCTTCTGATATAAATGTGAAGATGCTAAAACTCTGTAATACCAGAACAAAGTGGAAACTGAAAGTGCGAAGTCAATTGGTGGAGCTCGAGTGGTAGGGGGCTGCGTCCCCAGTCCCAACTGTCCCAAGTCCCAGACTAGGTCTCAGAATCAGTGACGGCTCTCTTTCTTTACGCAGACACTCATCCTCGCTCGAATTTCTTCTTCCAACCACGTGATCTCACCCTCAAATCGTGAAACGTGAATTTCTAAAAAAAAGCTACTTAACATAAAAAATTCGAATTATACAATCACTTATAATTAATGTGACAGTGAAATGACTTTATTTATGTGTGAGTGACAGTGATTATGATCGTCACAGATCCAGGTTCGTTCATCTTTAAAAATTCTCCAAAATGCTTCAAATTTTGGGAAACAGTTCAGTGCGAAATTAGAATAGTTCGTTAAACAGTTATTGAAATACCTCAAATTTCATAAACTTAATTCAATAAAAAACAAAAACAGCGTCCAATTTTTAAAATATTTTCAAAATATCTCAAATTTTACGACATGGCGAACAATACAATAAAAAATTAGTACATCATTCAATCTTCTAATGACACACTTTTTTACAATACACATAAACTCGAAATCATTTGAATAAATTTCTACTTTCGTCGAATTTTTCCCACGCCGTTAATTGCCTCCTTAATTAATTAATATACAGCAAATAAATTAAACTTTCATCGCGGAAAAGCGTCGGTAGGTGGAATGGAAGCGTGGGAGAGATTTTCGAATTTTTGCTCGTCCGCACCTGAGAACACGATTCTGCTTTTAGCCAGCCCGTGGAAGGGATGATGACGGTGGGATGAGGGAAGGGAGGAAGTGACGAGTGGGCCTTAACAATTAACCGTTTCCCACAGGAACAGATGGCGCTCGGCGTGACCAATTAGAGTGCGAGATTTTCATTCGAGAAATTGAAAACTTTTACCAGAACTGGCCATCGTTCAGAGATTGTCCGGTTCCGAGAAGTGAGACGGTTTATGACAGCTTATGAGCCAACTGTGACTAATCAGACGTTAACAGACGATTACTTTATCAATTCTAAATATTATGGCATCCCTTCTTCCGATTGGCCTTTTAGGTTTGTAGTATGTGCTTAGTGTTTGCAAAGTCGTCTCTTCTAACTGTTGGACTGTCACGTCACGAGTCGTAACAGAGGGTATAACTTGAACAATTTTTATACCGTTAGCTTCTGTGATAACCACTGTAATGAGTCGAGAAGATTTTGGGAATTTTCTTTACTGTACGTGTTTATGTTTAGTAGGGGGATAACTTGGGATTTCAATTTTTTTTGGAGTTCGAGTGAATGGAAATTGATGAACAAAAATCGGGATCAACTGCTTGATAAGTAATACAGGTGTGGATTTTTTTAAATTCTCAGGTTCGAAATTAGCATTGGAAAAAGTTGTTAAATGCCCATAAGACTCTTTGGATTAAAATCCTTTTTCACCCGTTTCAAGTTGTTCTTATTTGTGATCGCAGGTGCTGTCCTGGTTTTGCAAAAAGGGCGAGGACGTGTTGTCGAAGCACGGGCAACTCACGGCCACCAATTTGTCGACTGCCAGGCTGCACGAAAGAGAGTTCGAGAAGTTCTACTTCACGTCCATGGTGAGTCAAAATTAATTAAACAATTAATTCTTAAGGATCTGAAAAAGGGCGAAATTCTGTGTAAAAAGTTCCGGTTCCATTTTCCTCTACGATCATTATTAACGGAGTTATTAACGAAACATTGTATTAGTCCTGCCCCCTAGTACGCGATTGATCCACGTTGACGTTTTCGTTATTAACTCCGTTAATAATGAAAGGAATGAAAACGGCATTTTTTTCTCAGAATTTCACTCTCCTCCACATCGTCCAGATGAAAATCGTAAGTTCTGAAACAGTTGGAATTATCTGATCCAATATTGAGCCCAAGAAGATTAATCGTTCGTAATTCTATTTGGCCCCTGATCTGATTCAATAAATCAAGTGAGCGACTTACTCGACTGAAAATAACACTTGATCGATTTGCAATGATCTACCACTGTTTTATCGACGAGAAACACCGTTTCACCGACGCACCAAAGCGACTCGGTGACCGATTTCTCGTCATTCAACGGTCAACAAGTCAGATTTCCCATTTAAGACACAATGGCCGACAAAGTATTCAGAGTCGTTATTTATTTTTAAGATCGTCTTAAGCATTTCCTATCTCTGTCTATCCCATATTTCCGGTCCCTGTTGTGTATATCGTGATCCGATTGTGATCGCCTTAAGCATTTGCTTAAATCCCTGTTTCCTACAAAACAGGGACTGGAAATGTGGAATAGACAGGGATAAGAAATGTTGAAGACGATCTTAAAAATAAGTAACGACTCTGAATACCGGCTAATGATGAAATTAATGATAAATAAAGATATGTACGTAAATAGAAATCATAGATGTTACTGACATTTACTTTCACTCGCTGGGTATAGTCAACTGTCGTTTATGATGTCAACTTGCCGACATACGTCCAACGGTGCAACAACTTTATTTTCAATTGCTCCTTATTAATAAATTGTTATTAAGATAGGAACTTTTAGATCTTATAAAACAATTTTTTAAGATAGGAATTGTTAAGAAATTTTAATATTCCACGCCAACTATATTACAGTTCGTAAATAAATTGTAAAATTGAGTGCATCGTAGCGGTATATTGGTCAACGGGTTTTAATTAACGATTTCACTCAGCGGTATCGAAAAGACTGATCGATAACGCGAATCGACGCGGCCCGGTTTTTCCAGGCCCGGTCGGAGCGACCGTAACCTCGATCATCATTGACAGCGGGGTAATTTTGTGGGTTATTGGGCCACCCGATAAGTGACGATAATTATTATCGAGGGTTTTTGATTAATCAACCAGGTCTGCTCCAAATTTACAATATATGTATATTGAGAGACACACTACTTGGTCAGGCTGGTACTATAAAATTTTCTCAAATTTTTTTATTCAAGAACTTCTGTGGGAAAAGAAATTCTAAACGTCTTCGATAATTGCGCTGATGTCGAGACACTTTCACGAAATTAATTACTACAGGCAATTATTAGAAGAGCCTTGAGCCTGATTTCGCCGTTTCGCAATCGGTTTTTCTTTTCGAAACCGATTCGGCGCACGACTCGCTCGGATATGCCGCGTCGAAGCTTGCAATATCCTCCCTTGATCCCATCAACGAAGTTAGAAAGTTTTTAACCATATGCCCGATTCTGTTTTTATGTTATTGCCTATTGTCTGAGGATATTGGAATTACAGTTACGTTTTCCATTCGTTCCTACTCCGGGCACGTAGCCAGTGGCCTCCCTGGTTGGGCCTATTCATTTTTCATGAGGCTAGCACGTACCTATTTTTTTTTTTTGACTCCGATAAGCAGTACTTATTTGAATAAAAATGTCGGTGTTTGTTTCGATTTTTTGGGTACTATTGGATGGTTACAACGATTTGACCGTGAGCGGTAAGGTGAAGGTTATTTGAAGATCAACATCGTCTTTTAAGTAATAACCCTACTTTTTTATGATAGTATCTTGTAGGTGACCTTCGTATGACCTTGTATTGCATTTTTCCAAGTGGAAAGGTCATTGGGCACTGTTCTGGAACGTACTCGTTCTCAGTTACACGTTGCAATCACAAAGAAGTAGGGTCGTCGTCTGAAAAAAATCGAGACTTCTTTTACCACATCCCTAACGAAAAATTGAAAAAAATTCCCATATGTAGTAGTTGTGTAGTAGTGTCTCTCTGACTTCTTCCAGAATTTTTCATTCACTACAATTGCAAAAATTAAGTAATGAATATATAAAAAAAAGGGTTTTCCAATAGGAAATCTACGATTGCCGCTTTCAATTTCACCTGAGGAATGCCCCGAGTGAAAGAGACCGAGAAACCGCTAATTGGCTGTCGCGATTAGGCCAGCGTTCCACCCGGAAGGTAGCCCCGAGATAGCCAGTACCTTTTTCTCATAGTGCAAACCCGTGTTCCGTAGTTTCGGGAAATCTAGCCTCGAGAATCTGTCGTTCCGGCGACCCGATTACCTCTCAAGACTCAAGTCTCACTCTGAATAAAAATTAGACAGAACGATTCAATATTCGACTCACATATACCAGAGGGTTTCGAGCACAGAATTCAAAAAAATTAGATCTGTATCAGTTTTATTGAATTTTTAATAGTTTTTTATTTAATCCTTAGCAGTTTGAGTCATGAGAAAAATCGTCTGTCTCCTTTCTACTGAGTTGTGAAGGGGAGTGTATGGCCGACTCTGGAATGCCTTTTCCTTTCGGAGACCTGTTCGAACCGGTCGTTGAAGAGATTGCAAGTACCCTAGCCGTGATCGAAAGGATATAGAGGAATAGATCAATGAGAAGCCACAGCCCTTAGGTGTCTCAATCCCTCATTTAAAGACCCCGATGCAAGTCCAATCCAGAAGTTATGAACTTTGTGAATTTTTATTTAATTAAATCGTGCGTGGAAAAATTAAAAAAATTGTCATATGTGTTCCTCATATGGTAGTACATTCCTGAATTTTTCCATCAATTTCTATTCAATAGAAAGATGATGAAAAGAGATGTGGATAGAAAAATTAATTTCTTTTGCTCGGATCCTTGAAATTCTCGATGTAATCATGTCATTCTCATGATCAGAAGTCTAGAGGCTAATCAGATGATCCACGCCTTCTACATTCCTTCCCTCAGGGTCGACAAGTACCCACGCTGCGTCGATAACTGTAATAAATGTCCCAACGCAAATTCATGATTTTTTTTTGTATAGAGATACTGAATGAAAAAATGTGGAAAGAGCAAATAGCACATCTCTGAATTTTTCATCTATTCAAATCAGAGAAATAAAATATCATTTATGAACTGACTATAATCAATAAATGAATTAAATAATTCGTTATGACGGTCCTTAATTCTCCAATTGAGGGGAACATATAGTTAATACATGAACGAGAGAGAGGAAGAGAGAAAGAGGTGAGAGTTTGTTCAATCGAACAAAACTGGAATCGGACACGACCGGAGCGTTAGACTGGAATAGTATGCGTGTGGTATTTGTGTGAACGTGATCTACCGGTGCGCGGACGGATTAGGCGAGCGCAGTAGGCCACCGGCGCTCGACTTGTACACATGTGCCGTGAGTAGTTCTGCGAGTGTTGCGAGCGGGGCTTGCGAGGGATTACTGTGGCATTTTTGCAACATGGGAGTGATTATTTCGGAGTTTGTAGGAGTTGAGGAGGATTGTTGAGGTTCTCTTATAATTTAGGAGTGGTTATTCAAAAAATGTTACAAGTTGGTACCCATTATTCAGTAAATGTTACAAGTTGGGTCACATTATTCAGCAAACGTTACAGATTGTGACACATCATTCAGCAAATGTTACAAGTTGGGACTGATTACTCAGGAACTGTGACAAATTGGGATTGTTGACTGAGAAGAATGTTTATAAGTTGAAAAAAAATTTTTATGAACTTTTACTGATACAACAGTTTAGGAGCGACTCTCAACGAATAGTCGTAGTGTTACAGCTGTTTGGAATGGCTGTTATCGATTTGTAACGGTGTTACAACTGGACCAAGCGACTCTCATCAATTCCAATTGTCTCTCATTGTTTCAAGTAATTCTTATCAAGTTGTCACAGTGTTACAACTAACCCAAGTGACTCACATCGATTGTCCACTGTGTCATAACTGTTACAAGTGACTCTTATCGGGATATCATAGTGCTACACCTGGCCGAGTGACTCTCATCGATTCTCGAATTTGTTACGCCCGTTACATGTGACTCTCACAAAGTTCCTTGATTCGATGCTTAAAAACGCTTCCTACGAACTCGATTGGACTTTTGCGAACATTCCAACCTCTTACAACCCATATCAGTTTCTTGAATCCCAATCAAGACCTCCGCGATGCAACACAACCCTCTCTCCCTACTCCCCTTATCTCTATCGTAATAACGAAGCCTTGACTTAAAGACACCTATGTACATAACAGAAGAGGTACGAAGGGAGGACGGCGGCTGCCGGCTGATCTCCATCCGCCAGTGCAACGTCGATAGTACTTCCGACGCGTCCTCTATCAAAAAGCTCAAACTCAACAACTACCCAACGAATGATACGGAAAAACTGGTGGACATCGAAACTAAAACCCCCAGTGACACAAAACCCCATCAAAATTCATCGTCAAATATCAACAGCAAGTCAGTTTTCATAAAAGAAACTCAAAAACATCGCCAGGAACCCAGAGAATTGAAGGACTCTAGTAAAAAATCTTTAGAGGTCCACCAAAATGGGGAAAAAGCATCTAAAGTATTAAATAACGATTTTTCGGAGGTGGCAAAGTTATGTATCGATGGACAAGGTCCTAGTTTAGTAAATTTTCACTACACGGACACATGGACACATCCCAATAATGTAAACAAGCTTAAATCCAACAACTACGAAAACAATCAACATGAACAATTGAGGGATATCGAAACTGAAGCGGCCAGTAACACAAAACCCCATCAAAATTTAGCTTCAGATATCCTCAGCAAACCAGTTTTCACAAAAGAAACTCAAAAATGTCACCAAGAAACCATAGAATTGAAAAACTCTAGTAAAAAATCCTTAGCGGTTCTCCAAAATGGGATAAAAGCCTCTAAAGCGTTACATAACGTTTCGTCGGAAGTGGAAAGGTTATGGAGCGATGGGCAAGATCCTAGCCTAGTGAATTTTCACTACACGGACACACTGACACGAGCTAGTAACGTAATCAAACTTAAACGCAGTGTCTCAGCCCCAAATACCAACAAGAACCAACCGAACAGTTTATCATATGAAGCCAAAGAATTGAAACCAGCCAAGGAGTCATTATTCCTAAAGAATAAGTCTGGGCCAAATAAGATCGAAGGTGCGGTCCCCAGATACCGGAAGTTACACGATTTCAGGCCCAAGTATGAAGAGTTTAAGACGAAAACTGAGCAATTAATTGCTAGGCGGTGTCACCAAGACCCAATTAGATCCAAAGCTGCTTCCTGCTTCCTGATTGAGGGACAATCGGATTGGGCCAGTGAGCCCTCGAAATCAAAAGCGGACCTTATTCCGAAATCTGACGACTCCATCACAACAACAGAGCAGCTGGTTACTAAAAGCTGTCATCAGGACTCAAAAACAAACCCAAAAACGTCTTCTTCATTTCTGATTGAGGGACAGTCGAGTTGGGCCAGTGGGCCATCGATGTCGACGGCAGACCTCAGAATTTGTGGGGACGTTGAGGGAATGCAAAATTGTGTATGCGGAGTGGCTGGCGTAGACGAAAACGATGGGTGCGTGCTCATTGGCGTCAGGCGATTGGAGGGAGGGTTGGAGGACGAGGTGGGGGGTGTTTCGGTCCTGGACAGGGCCAGTAGGAGGGAGAGGGAGAGGGAGAGGTTTCTTAGGAGGCGCAGGGTTCATGGGAGGTCCGCTTCGGTACCGAGGATTCATGTGAGTTTTTTTCTTTAGGCATTTTCTGTTTTTCTTTCTATTCTTGTTACAACGGAGCTTTTTTTTAGAAACAACAGTTTTTCCTGTAAATTTATTTTTCCTTCTATTCTTGTTACGAGGGAGTCTAGTCATTCTATGAGAGTGATAAGAGTTATCGTTGCGTGGACTCTGGAATTTGTTTAAGTGGACTGTTATCGGCTAATTACTTCGAATAACTTAGTTAGGCCTTCATTATTTATTTATGAATTGATATATAGTGTCGACGATTTGGGTTTTGTAATGGGACATTCTGCGTGTGTGAGTATGGGGGTGGGGAGGGGGCTATAGAAAAGCGGATTCCGTTCGCCGACGCGAATTATTGAGAACTGATTTCGTAATGGATGTTGTACGAGAATTTAATCAACACAGGGATCACAATTGATGAATTAACGGTTTGATGTATTTAATTTTGACAGTTCGAGTGGATTAAAAATTCTGAAAAAAATCAGAGATGTACTACTAGCTAAGTACTACATGTGAGAATGTCTCCTGATTCTTTTCAATAACAATTTGTCCAACAAAAAATTCACGAAGTTCAAGAGATTCTGGAATAACGAATTTTTATCTTTACTATTCCTTCCCTTCAATTCTAATGTATTGAAAATTCTAACAAAACCAGAGATATACTACCAGGTGAGGAGTATATGTGGGAATTTTTTCAAACTTCTTCGCCGACAATTTACCGGTACGATAATTTTCAAATGAAAAATTCCTGAGCGAAGTTAATGACTCGTGTCTCACTTTCTACTTCGATTGAGGAACGAGCGCTGTAAGACTACGCATGTAACTGGTTTACATGTCTCATTTGAAACAGGTAGGTAATTGCAGTCTGCTATTCAATTTTCGATGCCCGAAGCTGATAAATTGACTTACGTAACAGCGATTTCAAGCAGGAATTTGAATTACATAAGAAAATTGTAATGTCATCGTCAGATTCTTTTCTTTTTAATAAATGATCCACTTAAGAAGCCTGGTAAAGGTAAGAAGCACTACCTAATACAAATCCTAATGTCAGTGTCCTTCTATTGAGGATTCAGATTCGTTGTTATCTGTTTTCAATTTATAGACTTTATGAATTATTATTTAATATAAATTAAGAAGAATCTAAAAAAATTCTCACATATACTCCTTGTACACTAGTACGTCCCTGAATTTTTCCAGAATTTTTCAGACACTACAAGTTGCAAAATAAAATTCATGAATAAACAACGAATATAAAACTGATCGTGGGACTTGCAACAGGATTGAAATTTTTATCCCCGCGTTCTGTTAGTAAGGAATTCCAAGAGGTTGCGCAAAATTGAAAGGAACGTTGTCCCGTTCCCGCATAAATAAATCATAAGCACGAAACCGATTCCAAAGGCGACTGTTTCGAATCCATTTAAACTGCGTCGGCCGTGAACCTCGAACGGGTCTTGGATCATCGCCAGAACCGAGGAGTCCTCCTTCTATTTACGCGTGACTCATCCAGGGAATATTCGCGCGGTCCCTAACTTTGGCGAATTTCTTTAGAAACTGTGTAACAGTGGAAACTTCGCCCGCATTCTTGCAAAATCGGCTGACCCGCATCGACTACTTACGATTCGCCCTGGTTCAGAGAAATCGGTTTCGTTCGACGCTAGAGCAATGGCTCAGGAAGAAAGTAGCCACGCTTTTTAATATTTATTAGCGTAGCGGTTAATTAATTGACTGGAAACATGATTACGTCCTCGTTTATAAACACTGGTGGATAGGCCTTGGAGTTCTTTTTAAATAATTTCGTAATTATCGTACGAAAAAATGTTGTTAACAAGAATTGTAGCTGATGTTGCTAGCTACAAAAAAGGTGAAATAATATTTTTTCGTAACTCCAATAGTTTAAGAGTAATAATTAAAAATATTGACGTAAATCCACAATAATCATCATACGACTGAACTACTACCCAGAAACCTGAATTTCCCCTAAAAGTCTACAGTCTATAAATCAGTAGAGTAGCCTCGTTATTATTAATCGCAAGAAACATGATGTTAAAACTTTGTCGCAAGAGCGTATCGAGTGGTAAACCGCAGACGATTTAAATCTAGATCGTAGATCTGATAATTGAAACGATCTCTGATCTATTTACCTTGATGGCAACTGGGACGTTAATTTAAAATCGATTTAAATCATTGAAAGCTGAGGATTCTCTTCGCGGCGCGCGGTAGAAGTAAAAGTGAAGGTGAGCCAGGAACCAGTTGTGAAATTTCCTGAGGCGCATAGGTCAAAGAAATTCCGTCGATCGGGAAAATAATTGGCAATCTCGTTAAGAGGATTCTCCTTTCGAAAGCGCGGTATTAGAGACGTTGACAAGGCGACATTCTTTCTAGAAAATTGAAAGTAGAGAGTTGATACTAGAATTTATATTAAACCTTCAGTTTTTTCGTAATTATTCCGAAGGTATAAAATTTAGCGAGAAATATTTCAATTAAAAGTTATAGGTAATCATTGTAGCTACAACTTCTATTGGACACATTTTTCGCTAACGTCAATAATTAACGAGTTATTAACGATAAACTGGAACTCTATAAAAAAAATCCTATTACTAAGAAACCAGTTCCATATTTTAGACGATTACTCTTAAACTATTACAATTACAAATAAATTGTATAGAACCTTTTTCGTAGGTGTGAGTTAGGGCTACAACTTTTGTTTGAAACTTTTTTCTCTAGTGTCAATAATTAACCACTTATTTATAATAAATCTAGAAACCCTCTTTGTATTTTCTGGTTATTTCTAGACGTGAAACCAGGGATTCCTTTAAAAGGTACTTCATTGGGCCAGTTATGGAGTCACTGCTCCCCTCGCGAATATATTTTTAGCTCCTCTAAACACGTCTTAGCTAAATAATCCCTTCGATGGAACGTCGACAGTCTTAAAAGAGTAATTTCATTTTTTCGATGATTACTTCTAAACTATTGGAGTTAGCGAAAAACCTTGCTGTACCTTTTTTGTAGCTATCAACATCAGCTTCAATTCTCATTCACAACATTTTTTCGTACGACCAATACTAGCCGAGCTTTCGTTCTTCAGTCCAAGATGTTATACCCTCGTACATAAAACAATTCCTCTTACATTACAGAGGCACTTAGACAAGGGCAGTGACCTGGCAGAGGCAGCCAGCGCCAGTGGACTCCGGGAACTGGCCCGTTCCCTAAAGCACCACCTACGCGGCTTCGGTTCCCGATTGGAGGACAAACGCGAGTACCTCGAAGACACCTCGAGATGCTGTCTCCTACAGGACAGGGCGTACGAGTGGGCCCAGGAGGCTCGCCTTGCGGGAGAGCGGGGGGCTCAACAATTTCTAATGGCTAGGCCCCCCCTGCCACCGGAACACTTCGCGGAGATGATGACCCTAGCTGAGAAACTCGGGAATGAAATCTTATTGGAACAGTGTAGTATCGCCCGTAGCAAATGTATGGAGGCACTCGAGTTGGCCAGGGGTGGGTCTGACGCCGGTAGCCCAAGGAGAAGGTCCTATGCCGCTTCCTCTGATGCTACGAGCTGGGAGGACACCCTGGCTAAGAGTAAGCTCCATTTATGTATTTTTGAGATTTCTTCTACAGTCGATGGATGTTGATGAAAAAGTTTAGAAATGTTGGACAGGGGTACTATATAGAATTTTTTCAAATTGTTTCAATAATTATTTTTACAATAAAAAATTTTAGAGATTCTGAATTTTTATCGTTAGGATTTTTTTCTCCTCACGTACCAAAAATTCTGAAAAAATTGGAAGCTGCGCTATTGTAATAGCAGTATATGCTAAAATTTTTCCAGATTTTTATGTTACGAATTGAAATAGCAGAAAACTGACAAAGTTTGAAATCGTCTATAGTAAGTTTTATTAATTTGGAATTGCTTTCATAATTTTCCCGACATCGAAAGGAACGTCCTGGGATGATAGCGACAGCACCGCATCCTACGCTTGCCCGATGGACAGCGTTGGGTCGAGCAAGCAAGTTTTGGATAACATAGCTGAGCTGAGAGAATCGGCGGAACAATTATTGGACTGTTCGCCACCGAGGAGCCCGGCGCCCCGAAGATCGATGTTGAAGCCACCAGTCAACTCCCATTTACATCGGTCAGCCAGCATCGCGCCGGGAATGAAAGCCAAGAAGTGAGTTTCTCATCAGAAAATTGAAATTTATTAATTTTTTCCTCTTTCTTCTTGAATTATTCCTAAACTATTCGAGTTACGAGAAAATTATATAGGACCTTCTTTGTAGCTCCCAGTTAGAGCTACAACTTTTGTTTGGAACATTTTTCACTAACGCCGATAATCAACGAGTTATACTCGTTTAACCATACGCCTACTGTACCTGGACCATTCCTGACCTACGCCAATGTGTCGCGGGTCAGGAACGACCCATGCACAGTAGTAAGCTTGCCACGCTTTTCACCAGGATATTAGCGTGGGATCCTATTTACACGCTTCCTGTTTAATTGTCTTATTTATCGGCGCTGCTATTAATCGCATTTTCACATCTAATTCGCAGAACAATACTGCTGATCATGAGGGAGATGATACAGACCGAACGAGACTACGTCAAGTCCCTCGAGTACATAATAGAGGTAACGTTATACATTCAATATTTAATGGAGGCGAAAGTAGTTTGAATAACTTAAAACGGGCACGACTGACTTAACGTTTCATATCTCGGTAATGGTTTTCAAAAGAGACGTTTCAGTACTGCTTCGAAGATGTCTCGACGTGTACTATACATATATAAGAATCTATAGAAAACACAACATAGGGTACCGCTTTCAAATTCAAGTTGACCTTCATAGGCTTTCCCAAGGTCATTGCATGGTCGAACGAATGAAGACACATTTCGGTAGCGATTCGAAGACATTTCAGTACGTACTATAAGAAGATCTAGTAAAACATATAAAGTACCATTTAAAAACTTAAAGTTGATCTTCATAAGTCGTTCCAGTATCATTTTAAGGTCACGTGAACAAACTTATTATATGAAGCACTTGATGTACTACAACTTTTGTCGAAACCATTTTCTCCTATCTTTAACATTTATCGAAATATTCCAATTCTCGTCACTTACGGTAGCTCGCTATTTGGGTAACGTACCAAGAGGCTTATTTTAACCCTTTCGCTACGGGCGGCTTCTCCACCGCGGTACTCCCGCTGAACGGCTGTAGTCGCCCGTAGCACGTCATTTTATGCAGAGCGACTATAGAGGCGAAAGGGTTAAAATAAGAATCTGAAGTGAAAATTTCATTATTAAATGTATAT